ACTGAGGGTTGTGATCCGTTGCCGGACACGGAAAAAAGACAAAAAAAAAAAAAAAGAATATAGACTTCACTTATTTTGCGTTAAGTGAGTTTCCTGGCAGATCAGGCTTTTATGTAATGAAATGATGCGAAATTCTACAAGATACACTGAAATGATTGGGAGTAAGACACTTTGGGCTCAGCTCATATGGTTACCAACTGCTCGGACTACCAGATACAGCTGGATAACCACAAAATACACTGTTCAGAATACAAATCTGAGTTTCTCCAATCTCTTAACGTCCTCACCAGGATACTTAAAGAAAACCCAAAACAAAACACCAATTACCAGCCAGGATGTCAGCCTCGTCCATGAACTGAGTGCTGAAGAGGATCACACGGTCTGTTTTACGTTCTTTCAGGAGGTTCCATACTCGGTGTCTTGAAAAGGGGTCCAGCCCAGCAGTTGGTTCATCCAACAGGAAAACCTAGAGAGGAGGGAGGTATATAAAACAGTTTTCCACTAAGGTAAAGTTCTTCCAGAAAACAATACGAAAACCATATTATTTATATTTAAAAGGGTATCGTGGTTAGGATTTTGCTCTTACATTTAATGTTCTGTTATGACTACTGTATCACACATGGCCTTTGCAAATAAAATGTTTGAACTATTGCCAAAGTTTTAATTTCTAAAAAATTTTGAATTCACCTGTAGATGTAGTCTGACTTACCTGGGGATCTCCTAAAATGGCAATCCCAAAAGTCAGTTTTCTTTTCTGTCCACCGCTTAAGTTTTGAACAACAACATCCTGAATGTTTTTCATTTCTAACTCCAGCAAAACTCTTTGTATCTAGCCAAAAGACAACAAGATTGTCATGCACCAAGGTTTCTTTCTTCTTTTAAAATTTATAAATGCAAGGATGTAAAGCGTAATGGTTACTGGAGCCAAGCTGCCTGGGTTGGAAGGTCACTTCATATTAATTAGTTGCATAATTTTGGTCAAGTTACTTTCTCTCATGAACCTCAGTTTCCACATGTATAAAATTGGAATAATAATAGCACCTATATCATAGAGAGGACATATCACAGGGTTGTTATGAGAAATAAATGAATTAGTACCATTAAAGTTAAGAATATGTTTGGCACATTGTAAATTATATGTAAGTGTTAGCTATTGTTTGAATTAAATTTTCTTGTCCAACATTTATACAATGATTTGCACATA